TCTATTTGCCGATCCCTAATCTAGGTAATAGTAATTATTAATTTATTAAACTATTATTATTATTATGAGAGAGAGAGAGAGAGAGAGAGAGAGTACATGTATGAGGAACGGGATGTGTGTCCCGACCCTTATGGCCTCACCCACGGTCTCAAAGGCCACATTCGGGTAGTCTTTGTCGGCATTGGATTTAGTGCTCAAATAAGTGATGGAATGAAAGAACTCAGTCAACGGTCCCGAAGCGTTGGTAAAGTAGTCGTGCAGTTGGCGTACCGTTAGCTCACCCGCCGGATGGACAGCACCCGCATCCCTGACCAGTGTTGGCAAACTGATGGACGGGTGGTCTTTGAGGTATTCACCCACCGGTAGGTCCACTTTAACCGGTATTTTCATTGACTTCAGATGCGCTTTGGGTCCGATGCCCGACAGCATTAGCAGTTGAGGCGTATTTATAGCACCTGTAGGTTATAGAGGGGAGGGGAAGGGGAGGGGATATTTAACTATTATGTAATGTCTGAACAATTTCGAAATATTTCCAATATATCGGGAATATTATTACATAGGGTTATGTCACCCATACATACCGGCGCTAACAATCACCTCCCGTTTAGCCTTAACCACATGGGTTTTACCATCTCGATGAAACTCCACGGCATCGGCCGACAATCCCCGTACGGCTCCCAACAGTATTTTAGTGGCCAGAGCTCGGGTCAGTATATGTAGATTCCGATGGTGGGGGTTAGGTTCCAGATAGCTGTTGGCAGTGCTCGAGCGCATGCCATCCATGCGTTGAAATGTCTGCATAAGACATGTGCCCACTTGTCGCGGGCCGTTGATGTCGGTATTTTTATGACCTAGTTCGTATAGGGCTTTCTGATGGTACCGCATGATGGGCTCCGGGCGGTCCCACGAGCGCACCTGTACGGGCCCGCCGACGCTATGATAGCCCGGGTGTTCGGCCACGAGTTTAGGGTCGGTGTTGTTTTCAAACCTCATGAAATATGGCAGCACATCCTGGTAGGCCCAGCCCCGGGCTCCATACTCACGGGCCCAGTGATCGTAGTCACGACTATTACCCCGATTGTAGATAATGGCGTTCAATGTGGACGAACCGCCCAACACTTTACCCCGATTTTGAGGTATTTGTTGCCCACTGAACGCCACACCAATCCCTCCCTGCGCTGTCTGCGGGATGTTTTTGTAGCCCCAGTCGTACTCAGTGTTGAGGTTTTGTATGTAGTTTTCCGGTATGTCTGTAATGACCGATTGCGGTCCTCCGGCCTCCAGCAGCAGTACAGTGACCGCCGGGTCTTCGGTCAGCCGATGGGCTACGGGTGCGCCGGCAGAGCCCGAGCCGATCACTATGTAGTCGTATGAGTCCAACCACTTGTCACGACTGGCCGTCTGTTTGTGTGTCTCTTCCCGTTTCAATATAATCAACGCCGCCGTCACTATCTGTACGGTTAGACTCGCGTAGGTTTGCATGGTTTTAGTGGCGGTGTTTGTGGTGAGCACTGGTAGTCAATGGTAGCAAAGCTTTGAACAAAGAGATTAAGTTTTGTGAAGTTTTTTGTTTTTGCTTTGCGTTTGAGTTTTGTGTGTCTTTTGATGTTTTTATGGAAACTTTTTTGGTTTTTGTTTTTTATCCGCATTTAAAGGAAATACAGAATAAATGCTTATAAAATGTACGAAATAGTAGTTATAATAACCATTTTTTTACTACGGATAATATAATCAGTAGTATATTTATTATACTTATTAAATATATTATTTAATAATTACAATTAATTTTCTATTTATATATCAAATTGTTATTGGTTTTATAAATGTTAATGAATGTTGCTTTAATAATTCTACTAATTTTAGTTTAACTTTATTTCATTATTACGATATCATTGCAATAAAAAAAACTTAAAACATATTTATTTCCCATCAATCCTTTTGGCACCGGATTTACATACATATCCTCCCCATATATTCTAGCATCATTACCATCATTAATTAATTAACACAATTTTGAAATTATATATTTATTTAAGTTAGATAAAATTAGTTTAAAGTTATTTCATTAATAAAACATTTGTAACAAAATATTTGATCAAATGTAAAAATACACGAAATCCTAATTCTAATAATATAAAATTATTTTGCTTAATCACAAAATATTACATGCCAAATTCTAGTTCAAAATAATTGTCAAATATAACTAAATTATAAAACATAAAATTAATTAATCATTTCAATTTATTTATTTTGTTTTACTTAATAAAAATTGATAGAAAAAGAGTTTTCATTAGATTTCAATGCATTTAATATCTCATTGAAATCCTTATGACTCGTGACAACCATCTTATCAATAGACCAGTCATTATATTTGGCCAACACTTGCCGACACTCAGGTCTGCGGCCACATTCCGGTAATGACATCATTGACACGAGTGTCTTATAAATACATTTTATGAGTAATTTCAATAATGATTCGTTTGGTGCGAATGTTTCGCTGCATTAATAAATAAAATAATATTATAATTATTCTCAATATATCTTTTATTAATATATTCACTAAAACACTTACTTTAAATCCAGATGAAACAACTGTTCGCCGATAACATAAAGGCTATAAATATCTGATTTGTGGTTATATTTACCGCTATATACTTCCGCTATATATGTATCTTAATTACATAATTTTTCAACAAATTTACACCAATTTTATAATTAATTACATTAAATTCTTTAAAATTACATAATTAATGTTTGCGAATCGGACACAATCTGACCATAAGTACGTTATTGTGAATTACGACAAATCCGTTCCTTTTGTGTCATTTTGACAAAAAAGACGTTTTTAACGAAATTGAAACAATATTGTAAAATTCAATATTGTTAATTATGTACATAAATCTTTTAATAGATAATTTAACACTGGTTTTAAAATAATTACAGCAATTTTACATTTAATTACATTATTGTTCAGCAAAATTACGGTAATTTTACACTTAATTACATTATTTTTCAACAAAGTTACATCACATTGTATGGTTATTGTACAATCTAAAGTATTATAGTACAATATGTTATAAATTAATTCATATATCATCAAATCAATAGTTTTAGTTAAAATTATATTGGCGGAATCTCTCGTCGACCACACCCCCCTCAATATGACATTATAATTTAATTTCAATTATATAAAGTTAATTTGTATTGAATAGTGCTAATCACAATTTTATTCAATTTGTTACTAAAACTAATCGCTATCAGAATCACTGCTGTCCTCTTCATCACTATCACTGGCGTCCCAATCGATGACATCCGGATGACCGCCGGGCAGAGGGATCAGATCGAAGTGATAATTCTGGAGCACATCGACCAACGGTGCGGTCGATGTATTCAACTCGTCGGCCAACGACTCAATCTCTTGGACATCAAACGTGTTTGGGATCCGACTATTCTGTGGCCCGATATCTGCCAAGTATTTCAGAGTTTCGACCAGTTTTTTGACGTCCATTTGCCTAATCTTTTCCCACTCTTTGTCACCGATTTTGATACCCCAGCGGCCGAAGTGCACGCGCGATACACTCCGTCCAAAGTCTATCCATTTGGCCACAAATTGATCGGCCGATTGGCCGCTGAACACCATTATATTGTTTTTATGGGCGTCCCCGTGAATTACACCCTTCTCGTGCATGTAATTCATACCTAAACATAAATATTTGATGATAGAAATGATCAATTTTAACCATAATGAAAACAAAATGTTCACACATACCGGCGGCCACTTGTTTGGCAAACTCTATGGCCAACCGATCGTCGATACGCTTGTCGTCGCCAAAGTCCCTAAGAGTACAGATCCCGCACTCCATCGCCAGAAACATACGATCAAAGGTATTAATGTCAACCATTTGGCCGCCACAGGGGGTGCGGATCACTTTACGTGTGCCTAAATTGATGGCTATTTTAATGGACACTATATTTGGATGAGACAAGCATTTCATAATACGTTTCTCGATTTCGTGATATAACCGCATATCGGGTGATATGTTGGGCAGAAACTGGACGTATTTGGCCGCAAATGTTTGGCCCGACTTTGCTTTGTCCATACGTCTGCCCTCCTTATCACTCAACTCACTAATCTGTATACAAATAAAAGTACCATGTATGATTATTTATTTCTAACAAATACATCAGTTGTACATACCTTATCATTATACACGCCCTTATATACAGTGCCGTATACACCCTTTCCGAGATGTTTAGTGTCATCGAAGTCTATTTCAAAACCCTTTTTCCTAAGTTTTTGTAAATCCCTTATGGTTTTTGCCCGGAGCACCGGCTCCTGTCCCATATACGGCCCCTGAGCTAAAATCTCTTCACCACTGCTCACATTGAGTTCACCCGATGTGTTGCCGACGGCTCCCTCCGGTTCATAGCCTAGCGGTGCGTTCTCTACGCCCAGTCGTAGTCGATAAATGGGACTCTTTGATGGCGTACGGCTTTGTCCACCAATTGCCCCACTGGGCTCATCCGGTATCTGACCTGGACGCCTGTCAGACATTATGCATCACGATTAATTTATTTGTATATAATAATATTAATTGTTAAAATTTTTAAATATATTGTTAGTGATTAAATTTGGTAAATATGTATATTTTACAAACTATTAGATTTTGATTGTGAAAACTTAATAATTACCATAATTTATTGTATATACTGATAATCCCGGTCGGGTATACGCCGGAGAGTTTACCATTTCGCTTTAATTGCTTTTCTGTCATAGATATATGAACAGATTAGGTTAATAAATAGATATTTTTATAAGAATTTAACAATGAACTTATTATCGTTTTTATTATTAATAATAGTGTAGACAAAATCATGATAAAATCACTATGATAAATAAACGCAAATAAAACTTGTGTTAGGTATATACTGGACTTAAATGACCGCACAGGCGCCATCGATCATGTATTTCCATTGTCAACCAACTAATAAAGTATTATTTGTGTTATACTCTGGCAAGTTAGGTAATTTCTTGTAGAATTATTTATAATTTAAGTCTAACAACTAATTATGATTAAAAATTATAAACATTTATTAAATAAAATTATAATATAATTTTACATAAAGTTTACATAAATGTTACACACAATGTTATTTTTATACAAGGCAATGCATTATTTTATATAACGTAAACAGTTAAAAGTATTAAAATTTTGATAATAAAAATTTTATTATTTGCTCGAGTGTTGAAATAATGGGGTAATGTTTTTAAATTAGTTAACGGAAAATATCTTTAAATATAATTTGTATAACAATCTGATCCTAACTATTGTCCAGACAATCATATAATATATTAACACAATGTTTGCGACACTTTATTATATTTATATGGCTGTTATGTGCACCACATTAGTTGGCACATCCCATGCACTGGCCATCACTCCATTAAATATAAGCCATAATTTGTCAGATATTGGGCCACAAAATGATTTCCAATCTATGAACACATCATTTAACGATAAAAACGTAAACAGTCTTTATATGAAAAACAATATGACCGCCGATGCAAACCAGGAACGCAACGTGAGCTCCAGTGGACAGGTAGGCAGTGGTAATGGCAATGGCAGTGGCAGTGGTGGTATCAATGGTCGGGTTATTGTCTTAATTGTGATCGTAATAATAGTGATCCTGGTTTTGGGTGATCTCACAGTGTGTGCAGTGATGACAGAAGCGAACAAGTCGTCGCCCCACAAAACTAGTGGCAACGTTACGACTAATACGAGCCCCAAATCGCCCCCAGACTTGTCCACCAGTAGTGAATTGGACGACACGGAGACCGAGATCACGACCGGGGAGTTCAGAAACTTTGATTTCATCTATAATATAAAGCCTAACGATTACATCGACAAACCGGCCAAACAAATGGTCGATATCCGCGCCCAATACCACCGCAAGACCAGAGATGTTTGAAACCCAACCACTCTCTCATATTTCGCCATTAATTTAGACATTAATATTGATCTGTTTTCGCATTATTTGCTAATAAATGCTATATTAATAAATGTAAATTACAATTTTATATTTGATGTCTAGTTGTTTTAACAAATAATTAAAATGTTTAAATTTTAACTTTATTTACTTGAATGCAAAACTGAAATAAAAAAATATGTAAATGCGAGAAGTGACTAAATACAGGGTTTAATGAAAATAAGCTGATGTTTGACAAATTGAATGTCATTGAAAAACATTTACACAACTATATTGTGAAAACCATAACCATAAACATTACATTTATTAATATTGTACCGGTAATAATAATTTATTATTGCTACATTTTTAATGTACAATAAAAGACCATCTGTGTGAAGTAACAATTGTGTGAACTAACCATTAGCATAAACCAAACCAAAACGAGCACTCCATAAATCTAATGTTAAAAATGTATTATCTGTATCAATCTTATGAACGAAAAGCTGAGATTTTTCACTTTACATAGATGGTCTTTTACTGTATTTATTTTTATACTGTACATTCATTTCAGCACAAAGTCTGCGGTTTTTGAGTGATATATCAAAATTAATAATAAACATGTACGTTATATTTGCTTATAATAGACTAAACAGATAGTGAATAATCATTTTTAGCTATCAAAGTAACCAAACAGACAGTATAAATAAGATGAGGCACTCGTCTGGCAAACCAAATGAAAATCAACACAAAAACAATTGCCATTTCCCTAAAAATAGCAAATATATTGTGAATTATAAAAAGTGTATAAAAGTCAATTGAATTAGTGCTGGGTATTTGATCATAAAGCAAAAAGCAACGATATAAACACCGGTACATCCCATAAATGCTAACCGCTGCCCGAGTTTGTGGTCATAAAAAGGCACGTCAATTGCATGGGCACACAAAACTGGCCGCCTGTCCACCGCCGCCACCCCTCCCACTAAAAGTCACGGTTCGCTCAACCGCTCAGACCATACACTACGACAAACATACCGGCGATGGTTATGAACACTGGTCTGGATTTAAGGAAGTGCTCAAATTGTTTGGTATAAACCTTAAATAACTTAATCATCAGAGTCAACAGGAATTGATTTTACATATATAATCTAATTTGTAGTTATTATATAATTAGTTGTTATATTTTGTAAATTATACATTATACTTTAGTTCGATAGTAACAAAATTATCTAGATTTAGTTTTTTTAATTAACATAAATTTGTAATCATAAAAATTAGATTACATATTATTTAATTATATTGCATTTCAATAAATAATTTGATAATGAAATGAATTAATATAAATATTTATTTAAATTCAATTAATAAGATGTTTTTGTAGGATTTTATAATGACTCATTATTAGTGAGTTAATGTATGTAACTTTATAAATAAAAGTCAGTATCAGGTCTGCTTCTATGAAACTTTGCCTCTATGTTCCCCATAGACAAGACATTTTAATTTTCCCCGCTTTGAGATGAGTTGGCCATGGTAATATACATCAAATCCAATAAAATAATTCAAATATAATTTTCTAAACATTTATACATGTAATTAATATGCAAAGATATTTTTGATGCCAATAAAGTATATAACAATTTTTATTAATTTATATTTTAGTAATTATTAATTTAAATAACTAATGACCTTAATAAAAATATATTTACAAAATTAATTAAGATTAACTATTGCATAAAATATTAATGACTATGTCGCACTTTACGGGTACACTAGTCCATTACCAGGTACATAGGTCACAAAACAATTAAATTTAATATCACCTAACATTTCATTACTACTGTATTTCGTTAATTATTATTGAAATTAATATTTAGAAATAAAATTTAACAACAATATGATAGTATCTTATAATTTATAAGTTATAAACCTAATGTACATTGTAGAAATAACATGTTTTACTAGTATATTAAAAACAATTCTTATGATTTTTATCTAACTAGCGTGATAATTAATATTGAATTATTCTAATAATTATAAAGTAAACAATAATGTGGTCAACAACATACAATACAATTTATGAAATAATTTAGAAACATTTAAATACTATTTCTAATACTTTTATAAGTGCACAATAATCTATTGTCAATAAATCAATAAATACAAAAATCACCATATTTATAAACTTGTTCAACGATTCAATATATCAATAAATGCCAACAAGTGTTTACATTAAATAATAGTAAAAATATAATTTACCAAAATGATTAGTTTATTTAATGTTGATCTTAAAATGTGTTTACCGAGTGATCACACCATAGCATCCGCGGGAACCCATCTCTACAAATATGGCATTTCATGGTTTAAATACGGATCACATAAGAGATCCATTATTTGTCACCCATTTGTTTGCTTTATATTCGTCTCATTTTATGTGATAAGAAGTTGTATTTCAATCAGCATTTCATCAAATGATGATATGATTAATCTATTGATCGGTGATTTTGCATACTTTATGACAGCCAAGTATCACATCGATATGGTGTTGATTATGGACAGCACTTATGTATTATTGTCAGCATTTGTTCATTTCATCCACAAAAATGAAGGCAAACCTTCTTATATGAGACCATTTGATATGA